GCAGGAAGGCTGACGTTTCGGGCCTAGACCCTTCTTCAGAAATTGGGCCCAGACCCTTTCTGATGAAGGGTCCAGGCCCGAAACGTCAGCCTTCCTGCTCCTGTGATGCTGCTTGGCCTGCTGTGTTCATCCAGCTCTACACCTTGTTAGTTCTAAGTGCTATGATAAGATTTGCAGGAATTAAGGAAGAAGAACTCCAGTGCACCCCAGGAATGACAGTACAAACAGAAACACAAGATCATAAGAAAGAGGAGCAGAATACGCCACTGGAACCCTCGTGGCCTTACTCTCCTATTCAATAAGGTCATCGCTAATCTGACATCAATGGGAACACCAGTTTTCTGCTTGTTCCCAGTGCCCAAACCCCATCAGAAATCTGTCCAATCTGCTCAGTGACATCCCTGATCTTGGCACTAAGGAGGCAACACAACATCCTGGAGCTGCAGAAACACCTCTCTGTTCCCTATTTAACAAATCCCCTGTCACTAACACTCTTGCTTTCTTCTTCCTCCCCTCCTGTACACTCAGGCTGCTTGTGATGCCTGAAGCTTGGTTCTGTCTGCATTCTCTTGAGGAACCAGCACCCTCATTAGCTTCCAAATGGAAAACCAATTTGTGAGCAGGACCCAGTCATTCCCTACCCTACCTACTTGTTTCTCTTTGACTGCTTGGTGGTACACCCATTCGCTTCCTTCCTGCAGTGCCCTGAGCTGTGGTGTGAGCACCTCCCTAAACATGCTACCCATGTAACTTTCAGCCTTATGGACATGCCACAGTATCTCCAGCTGCCACTCAAACTCTGAAATCCAGAGCTCAGGCTTCTGCAGCTGGGAGCACTTCCTGCACATCCTATCTTAGATGGCAATAAGGTGTGTGACTTCCCAGATACAACAGGTCTCACGTTCTGCTCAGCTGACTTCACCTGCCACACTTTAAAATGTAAAGCTTAGTGTTACTAACTAGCTTTTCTAATTACTTAGTCTAAAAATAATACTCCCCTTCTCTTTAGTCTCTCATCTTCTATTTCTTATTCTGACTGTTAGTTATCTCTAGTGCTTCTCCTTTTCAGTAATTTTCAATTTATCCCTAAATGATTTTTATACTTTTTAAGTAAATACTATTTAGGGTTAATCTCTAAAGGTAGTTCTTTATTGGTCAATCAGCTCACTGCATCTCTGTGATTTTTCATTTCTCCTATTTACCTTTAATCTGTGAATAACTTACAATAGATAGCCAAATTAGCAACTATACTACCCAAAGAACTTACTGTTTTCCCGTGATGTCACTCTTTGTTTTGTGCTGGGCCTCAGTGTATCCTGTTTAAAAAGGCCTTTTGTACTATGATCCAAAAAAAAGCACCTTTTCACCAAATTCCCAGACACACACTTGCTTTGGCTGTGCATCTCTCCAAATGTGATTTCTCCCAACTGCTCAACTTGATGAAATATTCTGTCATATTATGGTCATTCATTCAAAAGGGGTCTCACACAACTAGATTGCCAGTTATTACTTGCATTTTTTTTATTGGAAATCAAAATGACATTGGAGAAACAGCTACGCAAAGCTTTCAATCAGATTAAAGATAGGGTCTATGGTCTTAATCACTGATGAAAAAGTGAACTCAGTTGGTTGCATAGCTGGTTTGTGTTGCAAATTGATGCCAATTGTACAAGTTTAATTCCCATACCAGTTGAGGTCTACTTGAAGGTCCCTCCGTCTCAATCCCATCCCTTGCCCGAGGCATGGAAAGCCCCAGGTTAAACCAACACTGTCCCTCTCTCCACTCCTGCCTTTTGTTTTACTTACTTACTTTTACAGCTGTCAGCAATTCAACATCATCAACAGGAAAAAGTGGACTTTAGATCATAGTCTGTCATTTATTTCCAGACCCTTGACCCACAGGAGCGGTTTTTGCCCTTTGTAAAAAAAAACTATCACCTCAACACAGACTGTATTTTTGTGCATGTATGTCTGTATGGAAAGTTTTAATATTCCATCATCGTTTAGGTCATAACTAGAGTTTATTACTTGCTTTAAGAATAATTTTTTTTCTCCCAAAAATCAATGATTTTAAAGAGGTCTGGCAGACATTTCTTTTGCAATAAGAGGAGGAGCTAAACACTACTGACGCTCAGAAGCAGCAGTGAATGCTAGCTACAAGATGCACTACAGAAATTCACCAGTGCTGCTTAGACAGCACCTTCCTAACCCTTACATCTAGAAGGGCAGCAGATAATGGGAACACCAGCAAGGCGGGCTCCCCCACACTGCTGGCATGACTCAGCGTCACAAGTTCCCCACCAAGCCACTCACCATCCTGATTTGGAAATATTTCACTGTTCTTTCGCTGTCGGTGGGTCAAAATCGTGGAACTCCCTCCCATATGCCACCTACACCTAAAGGATCGCACCAGTTCAAGAAGGCAGCTCACCACCACCTTATTGAGACAATTAGAGATGGACACTAAATGCTGGCCCAGCCAGCAATTCCCACACCAATGAACAAATTAAAACAGAATTTTCATTTTCTGTAATAACCTTTGATATAGCACTTTATTAAATACTTTCTTGGAATCAAAGTACAGTAGTATGCAGACTCCCTTTATCCACAGAGCACATCAATCCTTCAAAGATCATTCATAAATTAATTAATCATGACTTCCCTTTCACAAAACCATGCACACCCCTCCTGATGCCTTGAGTATTTTGAAAAACCCAGACAACTGTGGCCCAAGGAATGGAGAGAGGCACCATCGATTTAAATGCACAATTCTAAAGATGGAACAGGGACACAGGAACCTGGGGCTGTTTGAGAATTGGTCATTGAAGGTGAACCGTGGTGAATACACAATGAACTCACGAGAAGCTGTCACAGCGCTGGTCACTGGCAATCGAAGACAGATCAACATCAGAGTCTAACAGAGGACGGGTCCCAAACTGGAACAGAAAACAATTCAGCATTAAACACCTCAAATCACACCCCTGCCCCCCACTATCATATACACCTCATCAACAGTGTCCCCACATGACCCCCACCCCAAATAGAGACAAAGGGAGCAAGAGAGAGGGGGACCCACGAGAGGGCAGTAGGTGGGGAGGGGGACCCATGAGAGGGCAGCGGGGGGAGGGGCGGGGGACCCGCGAGAGGGTGGCGGGGAGGTGGGGGACCCGCAAGAGAGCAGTAGGGGGGAGGGGAGGGGGACCCACGAGAGGGCGGCGAGGGGGAGGAGGATGCACAAGAGGGCGGTAGAGGGGAGGGGGACCCACGAGAGGGCAGCAAGGGGGAGGGGGACCCACGAGAGGGCGGCAAGGAGGAGGGGGACCCACGAGAGGGTGGCAAGGAGGAGGGGGACCCACGAGAAGGCAGCAGTAGGGAGGGGAGTACTGAGCAGCTGAATCCTGTGAACTGGGGATGAAGAAGCAATTGTTGCGAAAGGTGAAATAATTATGAAAAGGAAATGCTCCTGGGAGTGTCAGAATTCTCCTCTTTTACCTTTGTCAAAGTTTGCAAGATAGCAAATCGGTCTGAGGCCATCGGCAATCCAACATATAACGTCTTGTCCAGTCGCCCAGGCCGCAGGACAGCAGGATCAATAATATCTGATCATAAATTACAGTAAACAGTGAGCAACCGTCACACAATAACCGCCATTAACCAGAGACCCATCACCATAACCGCCATTAACCGGAGACAATCTCCTGCCTTGCTTCCCAAAGCAGGTTGGTTCACATCTCATCTGGTTCTAGGGATTTATACTATTTTAAAACCACTAACATCTCCATCCTCTCAACTGTAATTTGTTCAAGAATATTACAGTCCCTGACTTTGATACTAAAATTGTCCTTCTCTACTATAGCTAAAGATGCAAAGTATTATTTTAAAACCTCATCTATACCTTCTAGCTCCACCCAGTTTCCCATCTTGGGGCCCATAAGGGCGGCGGGGGATGGGGGACCCGCGAGAGGGTGGCGGGGGGAAGAGAAAGGCTTGTGTGAGCAGAGATGGTGCAGTTTAAGAACTCTCCAGAGTTTTGAAGCATGAAAGGAGATCGAATTGAGGGGTACCAGATGCCTGGGGTCTGACAAAGTAGATGTAGACAGAATGTTTCCTCCTGTGAGGCAATCTAGAACAAAAGAGGTCATAGTTTTAGGATATGGGGCTCTTTCCCCGGTTATCCCCTTGTCCCTAATATCCTTTGGATTATCCTTTATTTTACCCACCTAGGTTTACTTATGCCCCCTCTTCACTTTTATAATTTCTTTTTAAGTGACCCTCTGCACTTTCCATTTGTCTTTAAGGCTTTCGGGGCTTTAAGCCCTCATTAGCCATCATAAGCTGCCTTTTCTCCTTCCTGAATTGTCAACATTCCCCGATATCCAGGGTTCATCCACTTCATCTTTACAGGAACATGTACATCCTGCACTTTTTGAAAGACTCCCATTGCTCTGATGCAGATTTTCCAACAAGTGACTGTCCCCAGTCCACTTTGGTCAGATCCTGTCTCATTACATTAAAACCCATTCACCTCCACTTTATTCTCAATCCACCCATGTTCTTTTCCAAAATTACCTTCATCACACTGAGTTATGGCCACGATCACCAAAATGCACTCCCACTGACACTGCTCCCACTTACTTGGCCCTTTGTTGTAGGGCTTTCTATATGCCGACTCACAAAGCTCTCCTGTGTACACTAAGAATTCTGCCCACTTTAAATCTTTAATACTTCTTGTCTATCCCAGTTAACATTGGAGAAGTTTGAAACCACTACTATTATTATAAGATTTATTACTTCTGAGATTTGCCTACGCGGCTTTTGACATTTCCCGACTGTTTGAGGGTCTATAGCGCACTCCCAACAATGCGATTGCCCCCTTTTTTATTATTAAGTTTGACCCAAATGGCCCCAACAAAGCAGCCATCATTCCTCCTTATTGCAATAATTGATCAATACCACGACACTACCTCCTCTTCTACATCCCTCCCTGTCTTGCTGGAAGATTTCATACAGCAGAATATTGAGCTGTCAGTCCTGTTTGTACCTCACCCATTTTTCCATGATAACAATGATACTGCATCTCCATTAATAGCATACCAAACCTGTCTGTGTTACTTACAAGACTCTGAACTAAAATAAATGCCACCTTGCCTTGCTATGCTCCCTTGACTATATAGCTTCTGCCTTACAGACTGGCTTGTTTTTACCTTCTATATTTGTCAGTGCATCATTCCCTAATGGATGCAAGGATGTAATTATATTGTAGACAGTTCAGGGGAGGCTCACTAGGTTAATTTGAGATGAAAGGCTTGTGTGAGCAGAGATGGTGCAGTTTAGGAACTCTCCAGAGTTTTGAAGCATGAAAGGAGATCGAATTGAGGGATACCAGATGCTACCGGGATCTGACAAAGTAGATGTAGACAGAATGTTTCCTCTTGTGAGGCAATCTAGAATAAGAGGTCATAGCTTTAGGATAAGGGGCTGCAGATTTAAAACAGAGATAAGAACGGGTTACTTCTCTCAAAACGGATGTGATTCTATGGAATTCACTCCCCAGAGTGCCGCATATACCAGGACAGTGAATGTATTTCAGGAGGAGATAGGCAGATTTTTAATTAGTAACAGTTTGAAGGGTTATGGAGAGCTGGCAGGAAAGTGGAGTTGAAGCCGAGACGAGGTCAGCCACTGTAGTATCAAATAAGAGAGCAGGCTCAAGGGGCTACATGGTCTATTCCTAGTTCTCATGCTTTTGCTTTCTACTACATCTCCACTCTGTATCCCAAACCCCTGCCAAATGAGTTTAAACTAATCAAACTAAATTCAACATTTAACAAAATTCAGCCAGACTCCCCAACCTTCCATTCTAACCTGGCTGGTGATGCCCTTGTGATTGAATAGCCTTCAACACCACCCTGAGGTAGGGCTTCTACAAAAGGTCTCCCAACACAACCACCGCACAGCATCACTCTAACCCACCCCACTTGACACTTACCTGGTCTGTTGGTGGCTGCCATGATAAAGACCTGCTTCCGGGACTCCAGCCCATCCATCTCTGTCAGCAACTGGTTCACCACTCGCACACTGGCACCGGACTGAGGCGGGGGATCGGGGACCGAGAGAGAGCGCACGAGGAGGGGGGGAAGGACGCACAAGGCGGGGGGGGGGGAGGGGGGGCGCACGGGGGGGGGGGGGGAGGGGGGGGGGGGGCGGACCAGTAGGATAGTGG